CTGAGGGAGTTTATCGAGAAGACGTTGGAGGAAGTAGTGAAAGATTGCTTGATGTCGGTACTTGCATCTGCAATGGAAACAGGCCAAGTAGTAGACCTGAAAGACTTGTTAAGGAGGCTCGCCTTTGACACGATGTGCATGGTGTCGTTGGGAATCGATCCTGGTTGCTTGGATTCTTCGCTTCCCATATCGGTTCTGGCCGGAGCTTTCGACATAGCCTCCGAGATACGCACCAGGCGTGTGCATCCACTCCCATCTTCGCTGTATGGAAGATTAAAGGAGCATTGTATCTCGGGTCCAAGCGACGCCTCAAGTTCCAGGTGTTTCAATCCAGACCCAAGATGTGCCTGGGAAAGAAGATGGCTTTTGTTCAGATGACGTAATGGCTTCGCTGCTGAAGCAGTTGAAGTTCAAACTGGTTGGATTGGAGGAGACGCTCTTGACGGCACACATGCCTGGTGGATTGAAGGTCCTAGTCCGATTGAGAAGTCGTCACTCGACTCACAAAACTTTTTGTTCCTCGATAAACTTGAATGGGCATATACAGAAAACGCATAACCACCATATAAGAAGGTAAGGAACTCCTTTTTGTGGCTCTTAATGTGCTGCATTTTTATGACCGGTAAAAGGAACTTCAGTTTCAATAGTGATTATCTTATTGTCATCGATGAACGAACGACGAGAAATTGTAGAAGGATGTGAAATAGAAAAGACAGGTATAGGGTTTGAGGAAGTGGGAGCAAGAAGATGAAGCAAATTTATCGTTTGATTTATAGATCTTCCTACTGGTTTGTTAGAATGGGAATCTAAAAACAAAGGGACAAAAAAACCAGAAGATGATGGACAAAAGGAAAATTCTGTAAATTGATTGGCATTTGAAAGAGATTATGAAGAAATGGAAGATACTGTTAATTTCTGTCTATTGGAAAGAATCGTTGAGAGACTTAATCTGGTTTCAAATATTTTGGTTTTGGGTAATTTTGTCCAAAAATTGTCTATCACCGATTTGGGTATTATCTTACAAACATCACCTTTAAGAGTTTATATAATAAATAGTTATTTATTACTTCAGTTTATTATTTTAATTAGATTTAATAAATTATTAATTTAGTTATAATGTTATTATTTTTTTATTATTTTAAACACATTTTAGTATATTAGACTTTTGTAAGAGTGAAGTTCCTGAGCATTAGCGTCCAAAAAAATAAGTTTGCCCCTGAATAAAGAGCACATACAGATTTAGGTGGTTCACTGTCTTAAACAGTTAAACCTACCCCACAGATCTCTACTAAATTCCACTATTTTCGATTAATTGTTAGAGCCCTAGCAGAAAGTATTCATAATATTGAACTGGAGTTTACAAGTTTTCATGCCCTAATCCATATGCAATTGTCCACTCCAACAAACCACCTTTTGCTGGTGTTGAATCCTATCTTCTTAATATAAAAGGTTCTACTGAACGACCCCAAACTGCTAAAATATAAAAGGTTCAGCTATTGGAGGTAAATTTAGTGGTATCTAAGAACATAGAAGAGAATTCTCCAGAACCCATCAAAACAAAGAACAAATTTTCAACTCCACAACATCCTACAAGTTCTTTCTTGCATCAGATAATCATCTCAATAATAAACAAATGCCTAGGAATCCCACCTATAAACCAAACGATCATGATAATAATCTTTGGAAGAATTTCCTTCCTTGCTTTGTGTTTCGTATACCAGTTGATCTGCAAATGAATCGATAACTAAACAGAGCATAGAGCCAATATCTTCCATAATAAATAGATACCAGTTGACTGATTCAAACAACACATTTCCTATCAAAGCATCTTTGGACATCAGCTAAAAATAGAGGAAACAAAGTGTCTTTGGACACCTTAAGGTCCTCCAATCTATTAACATACCTTGTGAAACCACTCCCTACTGTTAATAGAGGGAGAGACCACTCATCATACATGATGATCCTTGAGAAAAGATGTGCAAAAATACCTCTTTTTGTACCCTCTCTATGGAAACTTGTTGACAGAATGGAGGTGTTAGTAGCATTATTGAATGAAATTTTATCAATCCATCAACATTTCTTTAGGAGATCTTTTTAGATTAGTACATTTCCTTGGCAGATCTTGTTATCAAGCATCTCGTTTCTAAGATGCATGGTTGAACTTCCTTCAGAAACTACTCAAGCACAGATAATATTCAATTGTTGTCTATAATTATCTTGCACATTCACAAGGAATGATAGCATTTGCAGATTCCTAAACAAGTTTTAGTCCAATACATCATAGAGATACCCAGTTTTTGGAAGATTGGGATCTTCTTTCTTATGCAGACAGGAATACCCTCTCAATCCCAGTCAAACTAATTGTCTTAAATAAGCATCCATTTGAAACCACATTCTTAGACTTTATTTTCCACTGTGTGCTTATCTCTAACTCACAATAAACCTCCAAATGAAGTTAAATAAATTTTTGACTCAGCCTTTCTTCTCCCACTGTTGAGACACAAATAAAGGGAATACATGTGTACAAAAAAAGACCATGCCAACATTTAAAGAATGTAACTAACAGCCAACCACTAGAACAAACTAAATAACAAACTGGACAAGTGGAGAGGCGGGTATAACAGAATTGTAACAGCAGTATATAAATAAGGAAAGGAAGCTAAGAGGGGATTATCGATTTGGGAATACAATCTCTCTCTCTCTCTCTCATTCAGGAGGCAGGCTCCCTCGAAAGAGTCCCTGAGTTAGGCAGTACCTAACACCCACTGAGATGAAAGATCCCTTGGAAGTGTACAAGGGCAACCATTATATGGAATGATCACTTCAAAAAATGAGAAATGGTGTCAACATCGTCATCAACTTGATCATGGTTAGAGTACCAAATCAGGTGCTTAGAGTAGAGTTCCAGACAGTAATGCAAACTCAGGGAGATGGTACAACTCTGGTACATTATGCATCAATCAAATAAACAATTAGAGTTGGAACCACAAACAGCTGGTAGGATCAACTTTTTTGATGTAGACCTGTCAATGGGTTGGGTGCAGTGAGAGTAAACCAAGTCAGGAACTGATAAGGAAACAGACCCAGTTCTAACTCAAGACCATACAGGGTGTAACTAAACAGAAACAGAACATTCCTATAATTAATCTGGCTTATTGTTGGTTATGACCAATAAGACTCGATTATAAATCATAAGCCTTTAGCCTGGTAATTTGACAATAAATATGTTAATAATCAGGACTAAAAATGCAGGCCTAGACCTGTATAATAGTAGTGTCAGATTGGTTTGGGATTGTCAACTCAACCTGGAGGTCCTGGACCATTAACAGCCATAAGCCCGTACTCTGATGGTTACTCATTTGGGAATGGATGTCATCACTAGCAAAGCTATAGGAGAAGGGAATGGAAGACAAGTCGGCTTCTACTTTTCAAGCGCTAAACTAGGTTTTGCTTTGGGATTGGAAAATTTTAAGTGGAAGGCAACTTATAAGAAACAATTAGATGGATGCATTCTGGTGGACAGACCATGGGCGCACAGACACCGCATTAGAAAGGTAAGGTTGCTAGGATACGGACTGAAATACTCATTCAACTGGGTTCCAAGATAATGTCAATGCTTTAGAAGGAAGGTGAAATACTATTACGGTTGTATTTAGGAGGCATAGATGTAGGTTGATCAGTATCTTCTGTATTGTCCCATCTCGTTATTCAGATGGGASGGGGTCCACCACCTACCCTGAGATCATAAATAAAACCCCTTGAATCCATTGCTGGTTACTGATCCCCGCCGCCCGAAAAAAAAAACAAGGCAATAAAAAAGTTGTTGTTGTCTAAACAATGGTCTGGAATATAATATTAAGGCAAAAACAACTACAATTGACAAGTTTCATTCCTAAGAAACAGCCTAATCTTCACAATGAGGAACTTATAGCTAACGTCAACAAGAACATTATTGTTTCCCTGTTCATGGATTCAAGCCCTTTCCATTGAATACAGTGACAATATGGACAATGTTGTCTGTCACTCAAGATTATTATGGGCTTCTCTTTTGGCCCATAGAATCTTGGAATGGATGAAATCGCCCCAGCAACACCAACAGAAAATGAAAATGGCAGAATAGTCATCTGGGCAAAGACCTGCCAAGTAAGGAATAATAGGGAACTTTTGCCTCATAAGATATTATCAAGGTTATTAGTCTACTTGCTCAACAACCTCTAAACAGTATACTAAAGGTGTTAAGTTAATTATATGAAGACTAAATCTAGACAATCCAATTTAACAAGACCAGAAATGGCCATGAACCTTCAGCCCCCATAAGCCAAATAGTAGCACCACAAAAATTATCCCCATAACTAACCATGGCACAAAGGGCACCTACAGCTGGTGGCAACACCCTACTAATTMTTTGATTCCAACTGCGACAGAAAAATGGGGTCAAATACATGTATTTCTGCYCCTAAAAAWCTAATCCATCTCCTAAACATACAACACAARTGGGGGAAAAGGACTATTTATATAAAATATGTGCTAGATCAGTAGTAAATGGAATAAACCAGAGAAGAAACAATGCCTAAATAATGACATAGCACTCTCGGTAGCAATTACAAGTATTTATTTTACTTTGAAGCAAAGACAATAAACATTGAGAACAGGCTCTGAAATTAATATGCGGACTCCAGAATGTAAAACAACAAAATCTACCGGACCACATTAGGGATAAAATGATGAGATTCCGAAACAGTACTTAGTAGGCAAGCAACGACTTCTAGAGAAATTCTTTCAAATATCCATTTGCATTATCTGCATAAGGGAGACAACTTAGCGAAGAACCATTTCAGTACTTCTTCCACCTTGACCTTAATATATCTAGTCTAAAATGGACAACCAAACCGTTCACATTCCAGCACCTCAAACATCACAAAGAAACAAAATTTTGATGAATGGGAGATCATATTAATTAAAAAGTAAAATCTCATCAATGACAATAAACAGGACAGCAATTAAAGAAACCTCGAAACGAACTATCAACATATATAAGTGGACTGAAACCGAACTAGTTGATATCATTTCACTAACCAAAACGAAATTTGAACCATGAAATAAATACTACAAATATTAGTTCAGAACCCAAGTCCCGGTCATTCACATCTTCAGTCTAACGAAATAAAAATTTGCAGAGAGTTGCATTACTTAAACTTCTCCCTTAGAACCTGAGCTTGGTGAAGAACCACCTGTTCTTTCCGGTCTTGAACCGGTCCTCGAGTCGAGCTTTGACCTCCTTGGCGGCAGTAACCTTCTTGTCCCGAGATTGGAGCGTGTCGAGGGTAACGACGTCCTTGAGATCGACATCAAGGGTGTACCGAGTGGGCATTATGTGACTGTAATTCACAAGCTTCACAAAGGCTTTCACTCGGGACTTCTTCGCCGTCTTCTTCGCAGAGTCCTTGCGAATGACCTTCTTCGGGTACTTGGCGATCCCAGCGACCAAGCAGTGACCGTAGGGACGATCTCGGGTGCCCTCGTCGAAGGATCGGATGATGACGGCCTTCCTTCCGGCGTAACGCCCCTGCAAGACTATTACGGCCTTGTTTGGTTTCAAAAACTTCACCATCTTCGTCTGCTCTCTTCCCCTCGGTCCTCTCCCTTACTTATTTCTCTGCTGCGCGAGGTCGTTGTTGAAGAGGGGAAGAAAGGGAATATGAATATAAGAAGGCTTTTAGAGGTAGTAGGGTTTTCGGCCTTTGGGCTTAGGGCTTAGAAACGAGCTGCAGAATCCAGCCGTGCATTGGGAATATCTCCCATGGGCGGGGGAGCTGCAGATTTGGTTTGCAGCGGGTTGGGTTTAGGTCGGCCTTGAAGTTGGGTTTGGGTTGGTCAAACTTTTCTACCTCTATGTTTTATAAGGGTTGATGTTACTTCAATATTAACATTATCATATGTAAAATAACTAGGTATCATATTTTAGAAAAAACTTACCTTTCAATTAAAAATTCTTGACATACAATATGAGTCTTACTTGTTTGTTTGGAAGTCAAAGCAAATGTTTCATGGAAAACATTTATGTGGGTAAATACACCTATTAATATTTTTTCTACTTTCTAGGTAAAGTTAAATAAGGACGATTTTATCTTTAAAAATGTCATTATCGAAGGGGCAATATTATCCTATCATGTGTTAACGAATGAGGTTATACATGTATAGATAAATAACTAGATAGATATGTAATACTCATACAAAAAATACATACATACATAGGGATACATAGGTTTATATGCATGCATGCATGAATAGTGAATATGCATATACACAAGAACTTACATATGTATGCATGTATGTATGTATGTATGTGTGTATGTGTGTATGTATGTATGTGATGGTGCACGATCTGGATGCTCCTAGCTGGATGGCAGTTCGGACGTCGGTCTACTTAGTTGGCTAGTTGAACTGCAAGGAAAGAACACTCAAAGGACCCGGGGTGGCTTACCCGGTGTGGGCACTCCGATGCTTAAGTTAGCACTATTGTTTGTTTGCGAGTTGAAGAACTTGTAATTAGGAGAGCTAGTGAGCAATAATCGCGCGTGCCTTGTAGCGTTGGGGTAGAAGCCCTTATATAGGTGAGTTGCCATAGGTCTTACGTAACACCTCTGAGATTCCTGGCCTGTGCTGGTAGGAGTCAATTCCGCACTCGGAGGTGGACTTCGTGTGAGCTGATAAGGCTTATCGAGTTCATTCGATCCGAGCGGGATAAAGATAAGGTTTGCAAACGTGCAACGTGATCTCAGAGAGGTCGGAGATAGTTTGCTAGCTTCTAGAAGTTGGCTACGTGTCACCTCGGAAAGTTGGGCCATCACGAGCTGCTCGGACCTCGGTCTTGGCCGAGGTGCCCGAGGTACCCGAGCTGACCTGGCTCACTGAGGTAGCAGAGAATGTTGAGTTATCATCCAATCAGTAGATCGCTTCCACATGTCCGTGTGCTAGCAGGTCGGGACAAATCACCCCTCATCAATTGCCCCCCACTCCCATGCCAAGGGTACTTGACCCGGTGCGAGAGTCCACGACAAGCCTGGGTGAATTTGGCCTGGTCTTTGGTTTGGCCAAGGTCCGGTCTACGAGTCAAACCTGACCGACCCAACTAGCTCAACCTTAGAGATAGATCACATCTTGGGAACGCGTGGACGTCACTTGGATTATAAATTCCACGAACGGTAAACACACGCTCAACCAATTTCAACCTCAAAAGTCGAGCGACTGCCCTCATGAGAAACGTCGGATCTAGTTGATCTGAGCCGTCTGTGATCGGCTATAATGGTTATAAATAGGGGCCTTGGGGTCCCATTTCCTTCGTCCTATTTTGAGCTCTCGCGTTCTGGAGGTCACGTGCTAACTTCGGTATCTCTAGGTTGGTCATCCATTCTTGAGGTCGGTCTTCTTCTTTTTAGGTAAGTCATCTTCCCTTGCTTCAGTTTTTCCTTTGTCTTTGTTCCTGTCATGTCTAGTAGTAGTAGCTTGTTTGGCGAAGAGAGTGCGGGGTCTGATCGGGTCGAGGAGGGCACCTCGGCTCAAGAACTGGAGTTCGGTTCGGCCGAGGTGGGCACCTCGGTTTAGGACCAAAGAGCCTCTCATAAGAAGGCTTCATCTTCAATCCCTACACGTCGTCCTAGAGAACCAGACAACTTCGGTCCTTCCACAATGTCCGTCGAGCAATTCTGTGCTCTAGCTTCTCAGTACAAATTCCCTAACCATTATGGTTACTACCTTCCCTTAGAAGGTTTTCCCTGGGACTACGAGCATGAGGAGATAACCGTCTTCGTGGAGCACCTGATTGTCGGGCTTCTCTTTCCACTTCACCCATTGAAGTTTTAAAATTTTTTGATGTCACCATCGATTAGCTCCACCCGAAATTGGTTCTCACCCTAGTCGGTACAATCTCTCTTTTTCATGACTTCGACCTTCCCTTAGACTTAGATATCCTCAGCTTGTTATGCTCCATAAAACAGAATCCTACTGGTCCTAAGGCCGAGAACAAATTTAGTTATTATATATCCTATCGGCCTGGACATAAACTCCTTCACGAGTATACCTCAAAGGTTCCGACCTGGAAGAAGATATACTTCACTCTTGTTGTCGATGGGGGGTAGCCTTTCCCAACACAATCGAGGAAAGGCAATAAGGACCCCAGGGATCGAATGGATAGGAAAATGTGGAAAAAGATGCATTCCTTGGCAGAGTTCGGCCTAAAGTTAGAGGACTATTTGGCCGAGGAGAAGCTCGTTAAGGCTAGGCTGAGTCCTCCGAGTAGGTCACCACTTTAGGCACGACTACTTCACTTTTTTCATATTACTTTGTCTTTGTTGCTTTGATTATCTTTTTGTTCGTCTTTTGCAGGCATCATGCATGACCTTTCAATGACTCGGCTCTTCTCCGACATGAAGAAGAGAAAGAGGAAGACACCCCAGGGTGATTCCTCCAAAGAACCGACAGTTGAGCCCACTGTCCCTACTAAGGCTGAGGAGGTCCCGATCATAAACTTGGTCGAGGAGGACCAAGAAAGGAGGTTGCCACCCCATCAGCCCGAGGTGGTCCGGTCTTCCAAGCTTCAGTGTAGTCATCCTAGGGTCGGCCCTTTGGGTGAGGGCCCCGGGAAGAGCCAAAGCATCATGGATTTTCAGACTAGCCTAAAAAAGAGCAAGGAAGTTGTTTTTCCCGAGGAGGTCTCTCGGCTTGCTGAGCAATAGACTCATGAATTAGGCACGAAGACATTGCGCTATGTTATGGTGGTATGTTCCGATCTCATTACTATGTCGTTGCATGGATGTTATCTCTTGTACTTAGTGTAATTGATTCCTTTTTGTAGACCAATTATATGATTCATGCCCTCCTGAAATAGTCCAAGTAGTAGGTCGCAAGAATAATGAATGCTGAGGTGGTAGCTGCAGATTACCAGACCAGACTAGAGAAGGCCTTCGATGCCATCCACAAGTTAGAGGGCAAGGTGGCGGCAAAACACGAGATTTTCGAGCAACTACAGAAGGAGGTTGGGAGGTTGAAAAAGGAAGCCGAGGAGCAGAGGGTCACTTCCGCTGACGCAAGGCTACTCTCACCGAGGGGATCAAAGATGCTGAGGTTCTTGCTATTAAGAAGTATAAGCCTTCGACGGAGTTTGACGAGATGAGAGAGGACCTCGGTACCGCAGCCTTCTGTAAGGGCTTCAAGCTTTGTCGCTAGATGACAAGACAAGCATTCCCCGAGCTCGACCTCAGATCGATCACTACTTCGTGTGTCTCTTTGGAGATGTTGGATAAGGCCGAAGAAGACCCAGACTCCGAGGAGGAGGAGGATGACGACCTCAACAAGGGAGCTGCGGAGAAGGATGGCCAAGATGTTGCTGCTGAAGAGGCCATGGACATCGACGAAGCCAAAGACGCATATCTGCCGTCGACCAAGCGAACACGTTGGCATGATCCCTTAGCAGTTGCACAAGTTCTCCCCAGAGGTGGTCATCCAGGAGAGAGCCAACCTGGATCATCCTCTTGGGGTCTTCCTCATTGAATGGCACCTAGATGAGGTCTTCGATAGGTTGGCCGTGCTGTGTTCTCGCATATCATAAGCTTCTGGTATCAACGTTTCCATGGCCAAGCATAATCCTCGGTAGTAGAGCAAGTAGCATTGTTGTGTAGTTCTTTGGTCTCCACGTGCTACCCCTATGCCGTATTCAACGGGGAACTTCATGGCGAGGTGGAATGTGGAGACCGTAGCCTGCAGAGCATTAAGGGTCGATCTGCCGAGGATAGCACTATACGATGAGGGGCAACGAACCACAATGAAGTCCACCATGGTTGTCGTAGTGATGTTGCCATCTCCGATCAGGAGGGGAAGGGTTATCCTTCCAATGGGCAAAAGGGACTCCCCAAAGAAGCCCATTAGGGGAGTGTTGATGGGGGTGAGCTACTCTTTGTCGATGCCGAGCTTCTCGAATGCATCATCAAAGAGCACATCAGTGGAGCTACCTGTGTCAACTAGAATTCGTCGCATCTCGAAATTGGCAACCTCGGCTGTGATTAATAAGGCATCATCGTACGGGGCCTGAACTCCTCGGAGATCATCATTGGTGAAGGTGATTAGCTGGTTGCGCTTCTTCTTGTGTCCCTAGTTGTTGATTTCACACAACAATGCATACTTCTTACACCTCAAGCTGCTCTCTCCTCCTGCGGTGATCACTCCTGATATTACGTGGATCGCACTAGCGGGAGGAGCTCGAGGCGGTGGCCGAGCAATCTCTGTGCGTTGTTCCTGCTGCGTTGGCTTCTCGCTTTTGTCGATGAACCCACCGAGGTACCCGTGCCTGATCAGGTCCTCGATGTGGTTGCGCAAGTCGAAGCAGTTCTCTGTGTCGTGGCCATGGTCCCTATGGAATTTGCAATACTTGTCGTGGTTCCTCTTGTTGCCTTGTGTTTTCATCTTCTCGGGCCATCGAACATAACTATGGTCATGAATCTGCACCAGAACTTTAGACAGTGGTATGTTCAGTGGCGTGAAGTTCCGATAGGTCGGTGGCGGTGTCCGTGGTATGTGGTCGGGTCTACGGTCTTGTCTCTTGTGATCCCGATTTGATCTTTCTAACTTCCGCTCCTCTTTGTCTCTCCCCTTTCTGTCAAGCCTTTCTTCCTCATCCCGCAGTTGTGCTTGTGCTTCTTTTGCATTAATGTACTTTTGCGCATGGCTCATTAGCGTAGCTAGGGTCTGGGAAGGGTTATTGGAGATGGAGAAGTTGAATGGCGAGGGGCAGATCCCATGCTGAATAGCAGTGACGGCTACAGACTGATTCATGTTTCTAACYTGCAGTGCTTCTTTGTTGAATCATGCCAGATAGTCTCTAAGGGATTCTGCCTTACTTGCATAAGACTGGCCGAAGTTTTCCAGTGCTTCTAGCTTTCCATGAACTACGCACGGAACTGGGTTTCTAGCTACTCCCAAAACGCTATAGAACATGGGGGTAGAGAGGAATACCAAGTCAGGGTTGGTCCTGTGAGGGTGGCTACTAAGGCTTTGCACATCAGGCCCTTAGAGGATCTATACAACATCAGTTGAGCCTTCAGTGCATCGATGTGGTCGGAGGGGTCGGTATTCCCATCGTATTTGTCGAGTTGAGGTGCCCGATCTCGTGGGAGGCACCTCATCTATGATCTCTTGGATGAACGGTGGTTCCTTGGCAGTTTGTACAGCTGGCTACACGGGCTGATCTATAGGCAGTGTCCTGCTTCTCTGAATTTGACTACGCTCCAACTCTAGGCGTTGTCGGAGTTCCGGGATCTCGGTGACCTTATTGTTAGGGGCCGCTGAAGGGAAGGGAGATCCATCATATAGATGGTTGAACCATGCAGGGTGGCTGGGCAAAATTTCAAAAATTTCATTCTCCCTTCTGGGAATCCTATTCCCTGATTTAGAAAAATTACCTTTTTCAAGGTTCGTTCTTGAAACAAACCAGACCAAATCTGAAACCAAGATTAGGGAGAGGTATAACTGATATGGAATCCATGCAAAAGCTCCTCCCAATGTAGGTGTTCACGCCCAAAGAGGTTACCAAATCCTTCCTCCATTAAAGATGACACAGCTTAGGGTGAGGAAGAATCAGCAAGGGGTTCTTTAGCAAGAACCTCAGATTCTTCAGCAAGAGTCGAACAGGGTAGTGAGCACAGCTTCAAGATTGTTTCTTCTACCAAGAAACAATATCAAGATC